AACAAGCAGGGAGCGCCATCCATGCACACCCCACCCCATCATTACAGCCCTCATTAATCAGCCTTGTTACTGCCCACAAATAAAAACCCCAGTGGAGAGGAGTGTCCCCACACCCCCCAATAAATCATCTCCTCCCATTCACTGCCAGGACAATCCCAGGCCCCTCAGAAGGGCAGGGACAAGGGTCATGGGACAGGGACAGAGTGGCTGCAGGGACACTGCCTGTAAGCATCATTTAAGGATCGTTTTCTCAGCAGGGAGATGCAGACAGGGCCACTTAGCACAGGGACCCCTCATGGGTACTACTGGTGCAGGCAGGTACTCCCAGTGCAGGGCCAGCCTTGGCAGGACTTCTCTGTGTCCCCCCTTCCGGGGGTGATCCTGTCCCCAAGGCCCCCACACCCACTTCCAGCAGAGCTGTCCCCACACTGCCCTTGGGTGCACAGGGCATACACACACATCACACACACCCCTATGTACATGCCAGGGCACACTCATGTACACCACACACACAGCCCATACCACATGTGGTGGGTGGGCCCTCATGTGTGTAGGTGCCTGTCGGCACAGGAAGGACTGGGGAACACCCCTCTAACAGTTCACACGAACGTAAAGCCTCACTGCTTCTGTCCCCAGCACACACGCACATGCTAGAGGACACACACCCCACGACAGCCCCCCAGAGACCTGCTATGCACCCACACCCACATCAGCTACAGTTCACTCTCACCTTAGCCCCATCTGCATGCTTGTGAACACACATGCACAAGCATACATGTGTGTTACAGCCCCCCATGAGTCCCTGTTCTCACACCCACATCAAGGACACACGGACACAGGGATGGGCATGGGACTGCACAACCACCACCCTACACCTCACCAGTGCCTCCCACCCACCCATAGCCCTGAGCATCCCCCTGTACTCCCATCAGCTCACGATCCTGCGTTCCTGACACACGCTGGTGTCCCCAAGCAGCCAGAGGCCTCTCTCTCCTCCAGGCTGGGTGCCTGCCCTGGCACATACTGGACTGTCACCAGCCTGCAGTGACTCCCCCAGACACTGCCCTGGCGGTGGCTTTGGCACCAGCTTTTCTGGCACAGTGCAGCTGGAGTGTCCCATGCCATTCCACCAGGCACAGGGCAGCTTCCAAAAGGTTGAGGAACTAAGTGAGGGTGGTGCATTGGGAGTTCTCACACTCCAACAGCTTCTCCCCTCCCTGCCTCAGTTTCCACAGCATGGGTGGCAGAACAGGATGAGTCCCCACACCAGGTGCTGCATGGGCACGGGAATCCCCTATGCAGGGCAGTCCTTTGGCACATGGATACCACACACACAGGTACTGATGGGCACACCTACACCCAGATGACCCCACGGGGGCCCCTCATGTTGGGCACATTTTTGGGCACAGAGAGTCCACCCTGACTGAGTACTTTATGAGTATGGTGTTCCCCAGTACCAAGTGCTTACAGGTACAGAGATCCCCTACACTGGGCACTTTATCGGCACAGGGATCTCTCGTGCTAGGTGTTTTATGGGCTTCAGGGTCCCCTCGCATGGGGCACAGTGCCCCCACTGTGGATTCAGTAGGGACACAGGGACACCCCCTGCCTACGTGTTCTCTCCGTAAGGACACAGGGATCCCAGCAGATCCCTTTGCATGAAAGGCTGTACAGCAGATCCCCTCCAGTCAGGCATTGCAGGGGCCCGCGGGTGTGGGTTATGGGAACACGCTGGAGGGGGGGCACAAGGAGGGACAAAGGACATGCCCTGCACCTAGCATGCATATGCAGGATTTAACCCTCCGATGCCCGCAGCAGGCAGGGCCAGCGGCAGCCCCTACCCCCACCCCCCACAGTCCCCGGACCCCGCCCCAGCCCCGTGTCCCCCGCAGCCCCTAACCCTAACTCCGTGACCGGCGGTGCCCGCTTACCTCCCGGCGGCGACGGGCGCGGAGGGGCAGGAGGCAGGACACCAAGGACTTCCCCCAGCCAACCAAGGTGGCAAAGCACCAGCTCAGCCGGGTCATGGTGCCCCTGCCCGGGGCTCACCTGGCCGGGGGAGGGTGCGGGGGCCGACCCCTGCCCAGGGCACGCTCGGGGGGGGGCTGTCGAACCCAGTCCTGTCCCCCCCACCACCGGCCGCAACAAGCTCCGGTGTCCGGGCAGTGCCCCGGAGGTGCCCGGGCGCGGGCACGGGGCTGTGCGACGGTGATGTGCTGGGGGGCTGCGGTCCCACCGGGCCCGGGCCCCCCCGCCGGTCCCCCAGCGTCGCCTGCGCGTTGGCAGCCAGGCAGGGAGCACCGTGCCCGCCCCTGTCCTGCAGTGCTTGGGTGGGAGCCAGCTCCGACACGCTCCCCCTCCTCCCCTCCTCCCACTCCTCCTTCTCTTCCTCCTCCTCCCTCTCCTTCGCCCGCACACGGGGCTCGGGGCTTGGCACCCCCGGGACTCACCCGCCTGTCCTCCGGGCACGGCATCCGCTGGGGTGAATGCCAGACCCTAACAGTGTCCCCCGCTCCAGAGCCCTCAGGTTTGGGGATGGAGGAGGTCGGACACCCTAGATTCGATCGCAGCGCAATTCACTATCCCCGCTCCGACCCTGCCTCAGTTTCCTTGTAGCACCCCCTCTCACCCCTAGCCCTAAATGGCAACGTGTACACACAGTGGGGACTTCTCTGCCCCTCTACTAGTCCTCCTGGCACCCCACCAATCTTCTCCTCTTCCTGGGAGCCTGAGGACACATTCAGTGACACCTCACCCAGCCCCCTTCCAGTGGGGTCTCCTCCCCGAAGCCTGCCTGGCTGATGCACCATGCTGTGGGCACTGAATTACCCAGGGGAACCTCTCCCTGCAGAACAGCTTGAAATGGCCCTGGGCACCCCCCTCACCATGGGGCTTGCACAGGGCAGGGGGACAGGATGCACCCCACTGGGGACCACACATCCTCCATATACCCATCGGGGTGGTGCCAAGAGGAGCTGGTGACAGCACCCCCAGATGCTGCCATGACGACATGTTGGTGCAGGGCAAGGATCGTCCCCACAGGGCAGTTGCTGGTGCCAAGCGTGGGCAGTGGCAATGCCAGGCCTGGACACTAATTGCATTTGCCTTGGGGAGGCTCCTGACAAGCAGCCGCACCAGAGAGGGGTGCAGGGAGTTCGGGTGGTCCCCCACACTTCACAGCTGTCCCCCACAGCTCTGTCTGGCACCTAGGAGGGGCAGAGGGCTGGCAGGCAGAGGGGGCCAGGATACAGCCCCCCCACACCGAGCCCCAGGGAGGTGACATCACTGCTGGCTCCATGGTCCCCCACCCTCATTTAATTAGCAGATGGCCCCCGGCCCCCCCGGTGGGCAGCACCAGGCCTGTGCAGGGCCATTAGCTTTATTGGCTGTGCTGAACCAGGGCCAGGCCTCGTTAATTGAATTGCACTTGCGCCAAGGACGGGCGAGTGTCTTCTGGGCCCCCCCAGCCTCCGGCATCCCCACCCTAGCCTTTGGCTGGGACAGGGGTGGGGGACCCTGCTGCCAGGGTGCTGCTTTGGCACAGCGGGCAGGGGCACATTCCCCCCACAGGTGTTGGGGTGCTGCCCGTGCAGTGCCTGGCACAGGGCATGCAGGTGGGTGCAATGGCGGGCACACACATGTGTCTGCAGGCACACACGGTGCCATCTCAGACTTGTGCCCACACCCACCACACGTGTAGAGTTTGTACGCGCACATGCATCCTCATAGCCATGCATGCACAGCCAGCACAAGTGTGCCATTGCACACATGCCTGCACACGCATACAAGAGCACATGCATCCTCCAGGCACAGTGGGCTGATGCTCCACTTCCCCCTCCACACACACACTCCTATCCTATGTGGGATGCTGCATCCCATGCCCACAGTGCCACACAATGGAGTGGCACAGGACAAGGGGGTCCTGAAGAGGCTGGCATCACCTCGAGCACTGCCACTGCCTCCCCCATCCCTCCTAGCTGCTTGAGGGCATCTCAAAGCCCAGCACCCACCAGGAGCCAGGAGGGTGCTGGGAGGCCCAGGCTCCCACTCAGCATCACTTCCTACTTTCACTTTGGTGCCGAGTGAAGCCCGGCTGGGGAGAAGCAGTTGGCCCCCAAGACACCCGGGTGGCACAGGTAGGGGCAGCATGTGCTACAAGGAGGGGTGTGGTGGAGGGCAGGATGTGGGCATCACTGTGGGCATCCACCAAGCTAAATGGTGGTGGGGAACGGGATGGCAGTGAGTCCTCCTGGACTGGCAAGATGGGTTGGCATCACCCCTGGTTTCCCACCCTCCAAGGGTTTTAGTCCTCAGTCCAGAAGGAACCCACAGGACAGGGCTGACACAGCACAGGGGGTCAGGCACAGTGGTTGAGGGGCAACTGCTGGGCTGGGGGCTCCCTAACAAGGGGGAGCCTTGGCCAAAATGCTTGGGGGAGAGTTTGCACCCTGGCTCTGGGCATAGCCCCCCTGTGTGGGGCAGATGCCAACAGAGGGCTGTGGTCCTTGCTGGGGGAGGCAGTGGTCCTTGCTGGGGGGGGGGTGGACGGGGGCTGCAGATCCTGTGGGGGTCTCTGTACCCAGGGGCTGTTGGCACTGGGGGGTGGACTCTGTACCAGAGAACTACAGTTCACTCTCATCTTAGCCCCATCTGCATGCTTGTGAGCTGGGTATGGGTCCTTCCACAAAAATTGCAGGATGGTCCTTCAAAGTATTCCCGACTCTCACTCTCATGGGAGGACACCAGGGTCCCCCCAGACCTGACACTGTCCTTCCTCTGTCCTCCACAGAAGCTGCCTAGGGGGACCAGCCTTGCTGACCCTTTCCCCAGAACTGGCACCCTTCATAACAGGGAGCTGGGGGCTGGGGGCTAAGCTGCAGTGCCTGATGTGATATGGGCCGGGTGGGTGGTGGCTCCTGCGGCCTCACCGACCTCCCACACTTCCTCCTGGCCAAGGTACAAAAGGAGAAGCAGGCAGGCACAGCGTGGGCACAGGACACTCCAGCGTGCCCCCAGCACTCAGCGAGCAACTCGGGGCACTCAAGCTGCTGACTACAGGTAAGGGGCTTCTCTTCCCCGGGGAGACTGAGGCATGGGCAGGGTGGGCAGACAGGAAGATAGTTCATCAAAGGTCTCTCAAGGGCACTGGAATGGGAACCCAGGCATCCTGAGTCGCATGTCCTGCTCCGTCACTCTGCCGTGACAGAGGGCACAGGGGAAGGCACACGGCACTCACTCACTCTTGGGCATGCTTGGACATGCTTATGCACAACCCTCCTGTGAGTGCACACACACCCTGCCATGCACACACCCATGCACATACATGTGTTCCCCCACACCACCCAGACACCATCCACAGTGACAAGTCACAGACCTGCCACCTCCATGGGCTCTTTCCTTCACCCTGTCCTCAGGCTTCCACCCACTGCTCCCCAAAATTACTCCGCTGCACTGTGCCCCCCAGCTCCTCACCCCATTCCCACAACACCCCCAAGCCCTGTGCCAGCCCCCCAGGCAGCATGATGTGCCAGAAGGTTCTGCTGAGGGGGGGCTTAGTTTGGAGGGGCTGCATGTCAGGAGCCGTGTACCCCCCTTCTCCAACCATCCAGGAGCCCCCACACTGGTCATGATGTGAGGGAAGCGAGAGCAGAAGAAAAAGCAGAGCTTCCCCTGTGCCAAACCCACATCCTGAATCCTGAGGAACAGGGACAGGGACAAGCACAGGGACACACTACAGATAAGCCATGCTCAGCCTCAGGAACTCCCCAGGGAATGGGAGCAGAGGCTGAGGACATTTTGGGGCAGGGCACATGGACAAATAAGGGGGTACAGGATACACCTTTGTCCACCCCATCCCTCCTACCTCATGCAGTGAGGGCACATGGGCAAGGAAAGGGGGTGCTTACACCCACCCTCTCTCACCTTAACAGCAGCCAGGTCTGGGGTAGAGCTGGGTGAGGACAGACCCTCTCCCTGGGACAGAGAGTTTGGGCATGCCAGAGGACTGCCAGCCTGGCACTTCTCATCACTGCCCCTGCCTTTGCAGATCCCTGTGCAGAGCCATGGCGGGGGACGGGGAGCTCAACCGTGTCATCAAGGACTTGCAGAGTAAGTGTGCCAGCCAGTCCCCTGCCAGCGTGTCCCCTGTATGGCACATCTCAACCTGGCTGTCCTGGGTCCTTTCTTGCACCCAGCCCATGGGCAGCAGGGGTGTCACTATCAGGGGTGCTCCAGAGCATACAAGTGCCAACCCGACCACTGCTGCCTGCTCCTGTCGTCGCTGCCAGTCCCTGGGGACTGGCAGTGCCCAGCAGATAGTTGTGCTCCTTGCTCCCCCTGCTCCCCTGTTTCATCCTAGGGCAAGTTCCTCTTTCTCTTTGGAGAAAAGGAGGCTCAGGGGTACCTTATGTCTCTCTACAACTGCCTGAAATGAGCCTCTTCTCCCTGGTTACAAGGGTTAGGACAAGAGGAAATGGCCTCAAGTTATGCCAGGAGAGGTTTAGGTTAAATATTAGGAAAAATTTCTTCACAGAATTGGTTATCAAACATTGGAACAGGTTACCCAGGAAAGTGGTGGAGTCACTACCCATGGAGATATTTAAAAGACATGCAGATGTGTCACTTCGGGACATGGTTTAGTGGGGGACTTAGCAGATCTGGTTCTCAACTAGACTGGATCTTAGAGGTCTTTTCCAACTTAGATTTTATAATTCTGCCATTAGAAATCCCTGGGTCCAGGAGTTGTGAGGCAGTGGAGAGGGGGATGGGATGGGATGGGATGGGATGGGAGAGAGTACCCACTGTCTGCTGCCTGAGCAGTGCCATGCCAGCTCAGCCCTGCCGTCCTGCAGAGACCGTGGCTGAGCTGAACTGCAGCTACCGGGAGCAGAACCTGCCGGTGACGGATGGGAGCCGGGAGCTGCACAGCCTCTGTGCCCAGCTGGAGTTCCTCCTCCAGGTACTGCTTCTCCTCTGTCCCTGCTGCTCTGCACCTTAGTTTCCCCTTAGGCACAACTAAGAGCTGAGGAGACCCTATGTTAACCGTTCGGGGGGGGGTGGTATGACCCCAGCCAGCTTTGTCTGGCCCTGGGCAGCCCCAGCCACATGAGCACCTGGACCAGGCTCTCCCTCATCCACGTGTGTAATTGCACGTGCTGCAGAAGGGAAATTGAGGCATGGAGCCAGTGAAGAGAGGACAGCCAGGGGACACCCGGACCAACCCTGCTGGGGCGGCTGGCTGGATCCTAGCCTCACAGGGGACAGGCTGGGAGACAGGGGACACCTTCAAACAAGAAACTCCAAGCTTGTACATCTGCCAGTTCGACCTCAAGGAGAAGAGGAGCTTCTTTGGGCAGCGCAGGGACTATTGGGACTTCTTGTGCCAAGGCCTGGCACGGTGCCGGCAGGACCATGAGGGCGTTCAGTTCGTCACTTCCCTGGACAAGGTGGGCATGGGCTAGTGGGACGCCTGGGAACTTGTGCACATCCACATGCTTCTGCTTGCTTATAGGTACACATGCACTTGTGCATAGGTACACACTCGCTTGGGCACTGAGGATTCACCCACTGGTGCTATAAGGGGTTTTCTCCCCTCTGGGGTCCCCACTGCCCCCTAGCCATGGACCTGGGGACCTCCTTTCCCCCTGCATGGGCTGGGGGGGAGGTGTGTAGGGGGAAGACTGGTGTGACAGGGTTTGATAACCCCTTCTCCCTCCCAGCTGAAGACCCCTGTGGGCAGGGGCCGAGCCTTCCTGCGGTACTGCCTGGTGCATCGGCAGCTGGCAGAGTCCCTGCAGTTCTGCCTCCTCGACCCCGAGAGCCTCCGGTGAGAGCAGGGGCACAGTGAGGGTGGGGGACATGGTCAAGATGGGCAGCGCCCTGCAGCACCTGGTCAGTAAGGGTGCTGCAGGCATATGTGCCCACCCAGGGCATAGAGGGGTGCCTGAGCCTGTTTTGTGGTTGCAGCGAGTGGTACTACGCCCGCAGCCCTTTCCTGAGCCCCCAACATCGGGCAGAGATCCTGGGCAGCCTCTATGAGCTGGACTGTGTCACCTTCCACCTGGCCCTGCACAGGGACGACCTGGACATCGCCTGGCCTATGTTCTCTGAGTGAGCCTGGGGACACCGGGACACGGGGGCATTGGTGGCACCAGCAGTGTCAGGGGCATCAGAGGTACCTGAGGCTCAACATTGCAGAGCAGCATATGGGCATTGTCCAACTTCCCTGGACCCCACGTGGAATCCCAGAGGTGCCAGCCCTCCATACATGGCCCCAGGAGGGTACAGATACCGGCACCAGCACACACACCATGCCTGTGCCTGCAAACATGCCACACACATGTGTACACACACACGGAGCCATCCTCTGCCAAGTACACCCCCAGGCACAGGTCTGCTGCAACACTGTGACACTGTGACATCTGACACACAGGGGCACATGCTTGCACACCCTTGCCCTCTGGGCACACTTGCAGGGGGACACCCATGAATGCAGCTGTTCCAGCACACTCACACCTGTTCTGCTGCTTGCACACTTGTGTGCACGCACTGCCACAAGCATACATGCAGCCCCAATGCCCCCCTGCAACCACCACAGGGGTCTCTGGGTGCCACCCATTCTGTGGGTTCTCAGGCTGGTGGCACCAGCATCCCTGGTCCCCTGCCACCAGGTGCCACCTGGTGTCACCAGCCCTGCTGCCCTTTACATCCCCGAAGGTTGGCTGTGCACAGGGAACTCAGAGGGAGGATGGCAGTACCGTGCTCGCCTTGGGGGTGACCTGGTGACCCTGAGCCCTGTGTCCCCTCTAGGTCGCTGGTACGGCCCAGCTCAATGACCAGGAGCAGCCCAGCAAAGACAGCTCCACAGACACACAACACCAGCACTGGGGCACACAGATGGCCTGATGGTATCGTCCATCCCATTGCGGCACCCTGTGGGACACCAGCTCACTCATGTCCACACACCTTGTCTGCCCTGCAGGCAGGGGATGTAGAGGTGGAGGATATGGAGATGGAAAACGCAGAGATGAAGAAGGACATGAAAGAGGAGGATGAAGAGGAGGTGGAAAAGGATGAGGACAAGAATACGGAGGAGGAGGTGGAGGAGGTGGAGGATGTGAAGGTGGATGTGGAGGAGGACATGAAGGAGAATTTGGGACAGAAGGGTGAAAAGGAGTTGGAGGAGGATGAGAAGGAGATGGAGGATGTAGATGTAGAGGAACTGAAGGATGTACATGGCTCTGGCAAATCACCTCAGCCTGATGGTGCCAGGGAGCCTGGCACTACCCCACTCACTGGCATGAGGTGCACGCTGAGTTCTCCATCACTGGTGCCCAGGCAGCCGGGTGGGATGGAGGCATCCCTACAGGCACTGGTATCCCAGCTGAGGGCTGAGCTGGGTCAGCAGGAGGTGGCAGTGCGAGCATTGGCAGCACGGCTGGCACGGGCAGAAGTGCGACACCAGCAACAGGAGGAGGGCAGTGCCCAGCGGGCCCGGTTGTGGGCACACGAGGCTGAGGCACTGAGGGAGACCAACACCTTCCTGGAGCGGGCACTGGAGACGGTGGTGGCAGCAGGGTGCCCAGGGGCACTGGCGCAGGCACAGGAGGAGGCACGGGGCTGGCAGGAGGTGGCGGAGGAGCGGGGCACCCAGTTGGCTGAGGTGCTGGCAGAGGGGGCAGCGCTGGCCTCGCGCCTGCGGGAGTGCCAGGCAGCGCTGGTGGCAGCAAGACAGACAGACATCCTGGGGCATGCTGGTGCCCAAAATGAGGTGGCCGTCGTGGAGGAGGTGCTGCGGCAGGCACTGGAGCTCGCCCGTGGTCCCCAGGAGCCCTCACTGGACCCCCAGGCAGAGGGGGAGCCCAGTACAGCTGCCAGCATGGCCATGGTATGAGCAAGCCTGAGGGAATCCCGTGGTGGGGCAGGGGTTTGGGGTCCAAGGTTGAGTTGCCACTCTCCCACAGCGCTTGGCCAGCCTGGCCACTGCAGCGCGGGAGGAGACATGGCAGAGCCGGCAGCAGCTCCAGGCCCAGCGACAGGAGGTGGCACGGCTGCAGGAGGAGCTCAGCAGGTTGGGCAGGAGCCCCCACTTCCATCACCCACCACCCCAAAATGGGATCCCCCATCTCCACCTGCCACAGGGTTTCCCTTGGGACCCCCAATGATGTCCCACTTGGACACAGGGGAGCAGCAGCTGGGGATGGGCAGGGAGAGGGAGGGAAGGATTTGGGGAAGGATGACTGCAGGGAGGGGTCAAGTTGGAACTGATAGGTAGGTGGAGGGGTGGGTGGGCAGAGGGGTGGAGTGATTTGGGGTGAGTAGATGGAGGGAGGGCAGGAAGGATGAATTTGGGATGGATGGATGGAGATGGGATGGTGGATGGAAAGACAGAGGGATGAATTTTGGGTAAGTAGATGCATGGGTGGGTGGGCAGAAGGCTAGGGGAATGGGTGTGGGGAAGGATGGACAAACAGCGGGGAAATGGATGGGTGGCTGACTCAGCAGATGGCAAGGTGCCTGTGGGGAGGGGGACAAAGCTTGGGGATGGATGGGCATCAGAGAAAAGGAGGGAGGGAGGGAGGGATGAATGCATGCATGCATGGAGAGATGACCAGCTGAGAGACAGGAGGACCATCTCCCCGCTGCCCCGTGCCAGGGCCCGGCAGGACGGTGAGCGCTGGGCATCAGCGCTGCAGCGGGCACAGCGGGAGGCCCTGGAGCGAGAGGCCATGCGTGGCGCCGAGCAGGCGCGGCAGCAGGAGCTCATCCGCGACATGAAGGAGCGGCTGCTGGAGCTGCTGCGGTGAGAGCCCCGGAAACTCCATGTAAGGGCAAGGGGGTCCAAACCCCTTTGCCCGGAGGAGGGCACCAGAGCCCAGACAAATACAGGGCTGACCTGTTCCCTCCTGCAGGGAGAAGGATGCCCTGTGGCAGAAAACAGAGGGCATCGACGCCCCCATGCCCGGCCCGGCAACCCATGACACAGGGCTATGCTCCCGCTGCCACAAGGATTTCCGCCTCCTCTCCCGGCGGTACAGCTGCAGGTGGGCTATGGGGGTAACTGGGGGTGGCACTGACACAGCAATGGGATGGCACAGCTCTCACCACCTGCTCTCTCAGCAGGCTGTGCCAGGGCAAGGTGTGCCATGCGTGCTCCATGGACTTTGGCAAGAAGGGCCGCTGTTGCCTGGTTTGTTACCAGCAAAGGCACCCACAGGCGACATGAGCAGGGACTGCAGCCCTGGCACCGTTCCTGGGACACCTCCTGCCCTGGCTGTCTCCTCTCAGACTTACTGGGGACCCAGGTGTCCAGGGCCTTCATGCAGGTCCTGCTGCCCAACATTTCAAGTTTGAGATCTGTCTTTCTTGTGGCTGGTCCACAAAAATGAAAACAACCCATTTCTGTTATCCCTGCGGCTCTCATGTCATCTGTCAATCGTTGCCAGATTGACACCCAGGCTGGGTGTGGGGTGGGGGAATGCTGGCATGGGGGTGTTCAAGTCCTCCTGGGGTGTCCTGACTGCAGCCAGGCTGAGCCACTGCCTGCCCTGTCCCACAGCAGGGAGGGAAGACAGCTCTTGGGCAACAGCTCTGGCTTCCTACCACGCTGCGAGGAACCACTTGGGCAAGCGATTTCTCAGATGCAAAGGTGATTGGCTCAGCACCCCCACTGACCCTGCTCAGCCTCAAGTCCCTGGGGCTCCCTCCTGGGTGCCAGGAGACCCCCGTACTCACCCATGAGCCAGCACATGGGTGACACCCATTGATGCCCCCATGGTTAAGGGCCCCCAGGAACCTGGATCAAGGGCAATGGAGGAGCAATATGGGACCCCTGTGAAGAGATGCTTAGGAGTGCTGGGGTAGCCGTCCTGATGCCTGGCACACAGGGTGGCAGGAGAGTCCCCAGCAGGGTCACAGCCCCCTCTTCAGCTCCTCTACCCCAGTCAAATGTCAGCCCCAGTTGCCCAAGCCGGGACGGAAACATCCCATTTGTGTAAGGGACAGGTCCCAGCCCTTTGCGTAACAATATCCTGACATTGTGGTGTCGGGGGGAGAAGGGGGTGCCTGGGGTGCTGGCACCCTTCAGGCAGGGGTCACAGTGTTGGCTCAGTTTCAGTGAGGGGCTGCTTAGGGATCTTTCAGCAATTTGCTCTACTGGGGCTTGGACTGGGGTTGGGAAAGGAATGGCTTTGTCCCCAGGTGGGACAGACTCCACATGGAGACCTCTGTACAAGGGAAGTGCTAGGACCTGGCTAGGTGGCTGTAGGGAAAAAAACCTGGGCTTGGGCCCCTTCTGGGGTTTTACAGGATGCCAAACCCTCTGCAATAGCCTCTGAGGCAACAGCCCTTCCCTGTCCTAGAAGGAAGCAGGGTTACCTGCACTCCAAAAGGCTCAGCTGGCACCACCATCTTGGCACTGTCCATGGAGATGTGCCCTAGCCCTGTCCTGCTGTCTCTTTTCCTGTGGCAAAGACAAACCAGACCTGGGTGATCAACCCACTAACTCCTTTATTGCTGCATGGTCGACGGCCACAAACACCATCCCCACAGCAGGCTCTCAGAATCCCCAGAGTCACAGGCTTTGTCTCAAAGAGAGGGGAGAGTGGGCAGCACTTGGCATCGCTCCTCTGGCAATGGAATCCTACCACCTTGCCACCCAAGCCCCCTTCCAGCTGGGGTCCGGCATCCAGTGGTGGCCCTGCCCATCCCCATATCATCACCACCCACGTTCCAGGGGGCTGGATAAGGATGCTGAGGTGTGTGGGGTGCCGGGATCTGCTGGGAGTCACGAGGACTGGATACCAGAAGGGCTCAGAGGGTGGTGGATGTGTTGCCAGAGGTGGAGGCATAGGAGGCACGGCCATAGCGGGCAACAGCATCCTTGCTGATCAGCCCACGCTGCGCCAGGATCTTGAGGAAGCTGTTGCGAAACTTCTGGCCGATGAAGGCGTAGATGATGGGGTTGATGCAGCTGTGGGCAAAGCCCAGGACCTGTGTGACAGAGAGGGCTGTGTTGATGCGGTTCCTCCTCTCGCAGGTCTCGGCGATGGCCTGTGTCCTCATGAGGGTGTCGCTCACCAGTGTGATATTGTAGGGTAGCCAGCAGACCAGGAAGACGAGCACCACGGCGAAGATGACCTTCATGGCCCGCTGCTTCTGAGCATTCTTGGTCTGCAGGAGGGTGTGGATGGTGACACCATAGCAGAAGAGCATCACCAGGAGGGGCAAGGCAAAGCCGAAGGTCTGCGGCAGCACCCGCAGCACCACCCGCCATTTGGCTGTGTCCTCTTCACCAATACGCTCGTAGCACACGGTGCCATTGGTGGGTGAGGTGAAAGCCTCACGGAAGAGCAGCATGGGCAGGGAGAGCAACACAGAGAAGACCCAGATGCCCAAGCAGACAAACTTCACCCAGTGCCTCTTCTCAGTGGCGGCCCGGGTGGCGTAGACAATGGCCAGGTAGCGGTCGACGCTGATGCAGGCCAGCAGCAGGATGCTGCTGTAGAAGTTGGCTTCCTGCAGCACGGAGATGGCTTTGCACATCACAGTGCCAAAGACCCACTCGTGGGCTCGGTAGGCAGCCCAGAGGGGCAGGGTGAAAGCAAAGAGCAAATCTGCCACGGCCAGGTTGAGCAGGTAGACGTCAGTGACAGAGCGGCTGGTGTGGCTGGAGGTCACCACCAGCACCACTAGCCCATTCCCCACTACACTGAGGATGAAGACGAGGCAGTAGATCACCACCACCAGGTACTTGTTGAGGACGGAGCCATCAGGCCGGCATGGGGCAGAGGAGATAGCGATGTCAGGCAGGGCTGTGCTGTAGTCATAGGTGTAGTTGTAGAGGGAGAGTAAGCTGGACAAATCCCCATTGAAGGACAAGGACTCCATTTTGCCTGTGGAGTACAAAATGGTATGAGTGTGGGGTGGCAGAGTGGTGTGGGCCAGGTGTGACAGCATCTCTGGGTCCCCTGGCATCTCCATTGCCACCCAGGCCCCTCCCAAGCAGTGGGCAGCACTCCTGCATCACTCCACTGTATTCACACTGTCCTAGGTAATGGGCAGTGTTGCGGGCAGACACTGTCCCTCATATGTCCCCTTGTAAAGTGCCCCCTGCACCTTGGTTTCCTCCACTTTACCCCAATCCTGTCCCTTCCCTGACTCCCGTGGAAGAAGGGGTTCCCTCACAGACTGACCACCTCTTCTCTGGCTGGGGGCCTCCCCCATCAATGTACCATCACATCTCTCCAGGAGATACCTGGCTCCTCTGGCAACTGTGGGGTCCCCTGGTTTGTATGGGTCCTTCAAAAGCCTTCCGAGCTCTTTGGGCATCTCAGAGCCCAATGGGGACCTCTGAAGTTCTTCAAGTACCCCTGGATCCCACCAGCCTCTCCACCCCCTCAAGTATCACTGCTGCAGCTGCCACTCATGCCACCTCAGCCGGGCTGTGGTCATGGTACCTGGGGCAGGCAGCACTGAAAAACATCTGAAAGTGTTTCATGCCCTTCTTCCCCCTCCCAGTCCTGTTCCTCTGTGAGTGGTTTCAAGCCTCAGACGGAAAGACATCACACACTTTGCAGGAGGCTTTGGAAATATTTCACATCTCTGGTCTTCCTGTTGCTCAGCTGGGCTCTGCCAGGCATCCTCATGCTCCCCATGCTCGGCCTCAATGGGGAAATCACAGGTGACAGTCACTCTTCCTGTTTCCTCACGTGTAGGAGACAACAAGCTTGCTCTGTTCCTACCTTCCCAGAGACCACTGGCTTTCAGCCTTCTCCCAGTATGGATATGGACTCTGGTTTCACTCCATTTTCACCCCTCTGCCCCATTTCTGAGCCCTCAAGCCCCGCCAGGGGGGAGAGGCCAGGACTGTCTGGAGATGCTGCGTCCCTGCAGTGCTGGGGGGTTTCTGGCCCCAAACTGGCTCTGTTTGAACCCAAATCCTCCCTGGGACCAACTTTCCCCTTTTGCCTGACAGGAATTCCCTGCTGCAGCTGGGCTGGTGCCCACTGCCCAGAAAAATCCCTCCCTGGCTCTGCTGTCCCCTCTCCTGCAGTTTTCCCGGGATGGTAACCCTGAGGTGGTGATCCCAGGATGGTGACGCTGGGATGCTGAGGTCCCAGCATGTCAGAGGACCACAGCCAAGAATGCTGCCAGTGTCGATGGGGAAGGTCCTCTTGACTGAGGCTTCCACAGGCATGGTGCAGAGCCAGACACCAGTGCTTCCCCTCTGTCTGTTTCTGGCTGCTTCTTTCTTCCTCCGCACTCCAAAATCCTACTGGTTCCTCCAGAACTGGGTATTCCCCCACTCATGGGTATCCCACAGCTAGCCCAGCTGGGGGAGCAAGCAGCACACAATTTCCCCTCCTGATCCTGGAAGGGCTGAGGGACACTGGGGTGGCCCTGAGGGTCCCAGCAGGGAGGAAGGAGGGACAAACCATGGGGATGCACCCTCCCGGCTCATCGCTGTGCAAGGAAATGGGAGCAAGCACTTTTCCCCCACGGCACCCAAGGCTGATGTCTCCGGGGACTATGGAGGGTTTGCACCCCAGACAAGCCCTCAGCACAGCCCTGAGTGCCCCCCCGTCCTACCTCCCTCTCCCCTCACACCAGGGGCAGCTCCTTGGGCAGCTGGAGGAGCCCACCCCGGCCCCCAGCCTGCTCCACATGTGAAGGGGCTCAGACAGATGCTGGGGGGCTCTCAAAGCCCAAGGAAAGCCCCAACCTCCAGTGGAGAATCCCAGGGACTCACCGCTCGCTGCTGTCGCTTTCTCCTCAAATCTGGGGTCTTCTCCCAGTCCCAAGCTTTTTCTCACTGGGAAGCACACGGGCACTGGTTCAAATCCGGATGTCACCCCCAAAGGGCTCCGGAACAAAGTGTGCTGGGATGTGGCACAGCACCCGGCCAGGGGGTCCCTCACCTGCGCCCGTGCTGTGCCACTACCCAGTGCCCCTTCCTTCCGCTGCCCTCTTTATGCTGCCTGAGGAGGAAGCGAGATTGCAAAACCTTCTCCCAGCATGAAGGGGAAGTGGCAGCCCAAGGGACCCTTCCCCAGTCCCCCCAGGATGCTTTTCCTGGGCTAAGGGAAGCCCGCAGACCTCGTCACTCTCCTGGTGTCCCAGGCCACCCCGTACTGGCAGTACACCCGGGGGTGCATTGTCACCCCTGCAGTAATGCCTCCTGGGGTTCTCCAGCTGGGGGTCCTCACCTTGTCCCCAGGCCCTCAGTGGGTGCGAGGCTCCCTCCAAGACACCCCTTGGTGCTGCAGTCCCCCCAGGAGACTGGGAGCTCTCCGAGGCCGTGGCCAGTGGGTGATGGCAGTGCAAAGCTCTGTAACTCAAGTTTCCCCATGGATAGAGCAAGTGTGGCACCAGCATTTTGGAGGGTGCACAGGTGAACTGCAGGGCTGGCTTGGCCCCTGTTGGGGGTTGCTGTGGGGGACCCCTCCCGAGTAGAGTCCCATTTCTGTCTCACCCTAGCTGTGCCATGCCGAGCTGACAGACCCAAGTCAAACCATGCCATCAGACAGAGCTGTGCCCCCATGCCAGCCCCACAGACTTAGAGAACCCCCTGGCTCACTCCTCTGAGTACCCCTATTGCCTTTAGGGGAAACCTGCATCCAAGAGCATCCCCCAGGCACCCACAAACCCTTGGAGCACCCCCATCCTCACAGCTTTCTGTGAGTACTCCCCACTTTTGGGGCACCTTTCTTCCCTGGGGACACCGGTACAGTTGTAGAGCACTATCATATCCCTTGGGTGTCACTACACACCCAAGGACATCCATCCTGGAGACACCCACCCTATTTTGGACAACCCCCAGCTCCAGAGCACCCTCACAGCCCCCTGGGTGTTGCTGCTCTCTGTGGTCACCTCTCATGTTTCCGTGCAGACCTGAAATCATGGATTTCAGAAAGACACCTCATTCTCCCGTGAGCAACCCCATATCCCTGGGGCACCCTATTCTTATGGAGACCCCCCCATACTCTGGGGCACACCCACTACTCCCTGGAGTGTCCCTATAACCTTAGGGGAGCCCCACACTTTCGGGGACCTCCATACACGAGCAGCATCCCACGAGCGGGCGGGACATTTTTGGGGACCCCCCTACCATGCCCCAGGCGCACCCCAAATCCCAGCTGGGGGTGATCCCCATACCACGAGGGCCCTCCCCGTGTCCCGCCACACTTGGGGTCCCCCCGGTGCCCCCATTTCCCTCCCGCCCGGTGGGCATGGTCGAGGTGTGACGTCATGCGACGGGCGGGGGCGGGGCGGGGCCTGCGCGCGCGGCGGCGCCGGGCCGGACGTGACGCGCGCGCGAGAGCGGAAGCGGCGGCGCAGGGTCGGGCGGGTCCCCGGTGCGCGCAGCGGGCTCGGCTCCCCCAGAGCCCCCCCCGGCACCGACATGATCCTGCTCGAGGTCAACAACCGCATCATCGAGGAGACCCTCACGCTCAAGTTCGAGGGCGCGGCCGCCGGGTAGGAGCAGGGAGGGCCGGGGCGGGGCGGGGACGGCTCCGCGGGCTGAGGGAGGGGCGGGGGCGCGGCGGCGGCTGAGCGGGGCTGGAGCTGTGCCCGCCGCCCCGGCACGGGGCAGAGGCCGGCGGGGCGTGCCGGGGGAGGATGGGGATGGTGACAAGGCAGGATGGGGGGTTAGAGCGTGACGGGGATGGCACCGGGCCGGCGGGCACTGAGCTACCCGGGGAGCGGGGAGGGCAGAGCGGGCACGAGGTGGGGGCCCGCAGGGTGCGGGGGCTGGGAGGAGGGTGGTCGGGGTGGGGGGGCTGAGCTGGGGGCGGCGGGGATGGGCAGAGGGAAGGCCTGGGGAATGAAGGAGCAGAGCCGGACAGACAGTGGAGAGAGGAGAGTGGGGCTGGGTGGGGTGGTTGATGGGGCGGTAGGGAGCTCCGGAGGAGCAGGAGGGATCTGGGAAGGGTGTTGGACATCGCAATGTTGAGATGAGATGAGATGAGGAGGCAGAGCTGGAGGACAGGGCCTGAACAAGGAGGAAGTTGGGAAGGGAGGAAGGTGGGTTTGCAGGGGTGTTTGCGTTGGGTAGTGTAGACTTCATCGGCGTGGTGCCAGCGCTGGTACCGAATGTGTGGGGGGAGCCGAGGAACAGGAAGCCTGTGGTGCCGAGTCGCGGCCTCGGCCTTTCACCTTGGGGGTGGGGAGCACATTCCAGCTTTCTCTCTCTTTGCTTTCTCGAGGAGGAGGGATGCAGGCCCCCGGGTCAGCCACGGCCCCTGGTGCCAGCCTGGTGGGTGTCCTGGCCTTGGGCGTGGGTTGGGGGGTCTGGTTTGCACCCACGTCTCTGCTGGGACAGTTTAGTCCCTGGGAAGTTGGTGATTTTTTACTGCGAGTGTTGCACCAGGGCTGTAAAGATCCTTGTGAAGGCACAGCTTAGCTTGGAAGGAAGTCCCTGCATATGAACGTATGAATCTGCCACCGAGCTGCCTGTGGGCTCGCTGCTCTGTGTGCTGGCCGAGACACCTTTGTACAGAGACTAAGCCTTGAGAGTCAAAGCGCCGTGGTGTTATCTCTGGGGTGGAGCCTGCCCTGGCGCCTCACAGAGCACGGCTCAGGCTGCTCCGGGAAAGGACCCCCCCCCCCCAGGCAGGTGCCTTTTTCTGTGTCACCTTTTTCTCCAGCGATTTTTCGAAGCTCTCAACCTTTTGTATCCCGAACACTGGCAGGGGCCACTTCCTCTGCTCTCCCCACACTCTCAGTTGAATTCTTGCTCAGGTTGGTTTTTTGGTTTTGGTGTTTTTTTCATAAAATAGTCTCACGGGCTGCTGATAGCCGAGCTGCTCCCAGATGTTGATTCTTCTTGAGCCTGATCATTTAATGCAACAGGTTTCCCTGGAGCACAGGCACCAAACTGGGAAGAGAGAGCTCCCAGGTGCCCACTGTGGCATTGCAGCTGCATCCATTAGAAAGTACAACATGTACCAAGGTTAATAGTGTGCTTCAGGACAGCTTGTCCATCGCAAGTCTGTTCCAAGGCACTCTTCCTGCTGGAGAGAGAAGAATGCGTGTGTGTCCCTGTGTTGGTGTGAATGTGGAGGGGGTGGTTTGCAGGTTCAAATGCACCCCAAAACCCTGACTCCATGTGAGCAGAGGTGGCATTGCTCACCCTGCACCAGCCTGCAGACTCCCAAATTTTCCATTTTGCTGTGCAGCAAAGCCACCTCACTTGTGCGTTGGCACGCTTTCCTGACGTACCAATTGTTCCTGGATCGATCCGTGGCACAGCTGATGGTGCTCTGCTTCTGCCTCTTAGTCATCTATGGCATGTTGTGTTCTTTAGATGTCATTTCTAGATAAGTTTTGTGCCGTGAGTGTGTAGCTGGAGGTGAGGAAGTTATTTACTTCTGCATTTTCTTATGTGCTTGTGCTTGGGGTCCTTCTGTCCAGGCAAGTGCAGCACAGTGAGGTGCATTTTTTTTTTCCTCTCTTTTCTAAGGAATGGGTGTTATGCAATATTTATTCATGTGAAATTTCTTTTCCCTACGGCCACAGCTCTGGGCTCGTTCCTGTGGTGCTCATCCTGGAGGCAGGAAGGGATTTCATATACTTCACTGTTTTGGTGATGGTTGTTCCAAGGTGTGTCTTGGGGAAGAAAACAGGACAGTCAGGGCAAGGTTGAGCCTTGAAAGATTCAGTGACTGGGAGGAGCGAGTCAGGACACTGGGGCAGAGTTGGGTTTGCATTATTTGCTCTAACCCAGGAGTGCGGCAGATGCAATGCAGGGATTTGTCCACAGTGGTTGTCCCAGAGCCAGGTGTGCCTGGTGGCTTCAGCAACAGCCTGGGAGTGGGGCAGGGTGGGGTTTCTTTCCAAATCCTTTGCCAGAGACTTGCCCTGTGACATGGGCCATGTCATTCCCCTCTGCTTCCCATGGCTGCAGTGTGGCCGTGGTATGGCAGGTCCCTACAGAGCTTTCCTGGACTGTCAGATGGGAGACACTCCACATTTCACCATGTCATATAGAACTAGGTCATGTCTAGAACTTGGAGCTAATTACTGCCATAACACTATTGTTGTATATTATATGTTCCAGTCTGCTCTGTGTGGAGGTTCGTCAGCTGTCCCTGGAGTTCCCAGCATGGAAGGTGCCTTGGCAGGACTTCGAATAGAGAGCAGAACTTGAGACAGGGCCTAACCCACCTCTGAGAGTCCTCCCTTGACAAGGTCCTTGGTGCTTGGCAGCATCCAGCTGTAAATGGGATAATTTCAAATTTAGTTTGGTTTTGTGGGCAAACCCCGTGGAAATCTCACCTCCTTGGACAGCCACCATTGAAAGGTGATATTTAGATCAAGGTGGTGACAGATTATGGACTTAAATGCATCTGTTGGTTTTTTTCTTTATTTAATACTGTAATTTCTTGGTTTAAATCCACTCTCTTAAACCAACCACATTTTAAAACAAAGGTCTAAACCTACCAGAATCTGTTGAAATAACTTGAGTTAGGAATTTGCTGCTGAAGCTTTCAAGCATTGAACTGATGCAGTGTGGGAATACCTGGTCAGTACATGGAAATAAGTGTGTTGAAATGAGGGTGGCTCATAAGCTTTTGTAGGTGTCAAGTGAATAAACTGTTCCATAAGCTTTTCACTAATTCATTTGTACTTGGGAAGTTGCCTAGAAGCTGGAGTCACAGGTGGGTTTTCCCATTTCTGATAGAAATGTGATGTGAGGGTATGAGCTCTACCAGTTGGAAGTTTTTGTTTCCCATCATTGCTTCTCTTTGCTAACCACACAGACAGGAAAAACCCCCACAAACACTGTAAGTGTAAAACATTTTGATTATTGTCTTCTGTGTCTGGTGAATACTTGTTCTGTTTAGCACCCAGGGAGGAACAGCTTCCCAAAACAGATTTGATGTCCAATTTTGTCCTGCTCTAATTTAACTGATCCCAGTGAAAGTGTGGCACAGGGCTTTGTTCTCAGGGTTTGCCCTAAATCTTTGGTAAATTAATCATCAGTCTCAAACCGTTACTTATTTTTTACCCACTGTGCAAAAGAAAACAAATTTGCATAGTTGGAGAACAGTGTGCCTTTTCCTGGGTTGGGGGTGGAGGGAAAAGAATCTCAAATCAAATTGTTGGTTTCTTTACAGCTATTAGTAGGTACAAATCTGCAAGGCTTCATGACTATTAGCTGCATAGGAAATCAGCTGAAGCCTGAACTTCCCTGGTGCAGAGCAGTTCCTGTGAGCTGGGCTGAAGCTGCACCCGCCTGCTTGATGGTGTTTCCCGCCTGCGGTCACTTGGTGCTCGTGGGCTGCGGAGCTGAGCCTTTCAGACAGCGAGGCTGAGCCCTGGGTGAAACCAGGCAGCGTGAACTTGGTGTTTGTGATGTGACATGCAAAGTGAGTTCATGATGGGGAGACCAAGGAGCGTCTGGAGGCTGTCGGTTGTGCTGGGAGGGTAGAGGAGCTTTGAGTTCTGCAGGGCACCACTGAGAAACTCCCTGCAAGAGTGGCTGTGGCCGTATGTGGCTCTGGTGCTTCAGGAATCCTCAGCAGCCCCATCAAAACCGAGATTGTTCCTCTGCTACCCCTTCCTGCTTGCTGACAGAGGCATTTTTGTGGCTTCAAGGGAAACAGGATTGGGGAAGTGACCTAGGTTAAAATTAAACAGGCAAAACTGGGTATTTTTAGCCTAAATGAGTTTCCTCATCCCGTTCGTTGTCTGACGACTGCTTGCCATGGTGCGGCCACGGAGCAGGGATCAGGTCTCCCTCCTTCAGCAGCAGTGGCAGGTGCTGGCTCATTGTCATCACAAGCCCAGCATGGAGCTGCACATCTCCCCCCACAACCTCACCTGCTGAAACTCAACCTGCCTGACTCTGATGTGTGCCCAGGCGATGGTGCTGGCAGAAAGCAGTACCCTTGGGTTCAGCTGGCATGGGCAGCGCTTGTACACCCTGGCTGTTCACGTTCACTGAGGGTGCTGTAGGTGTTTGAACATAGCTTCTGAGACACAACACATCCTGCTTCAGCCACCAGGGAAGGTGACTGCATTAATGGTGGATTGTGAACCACCTCTGGCTGGAACTAGGCAGTGCTCTGCTTTCGAGCAACAGCACAGGAGGGAAGAGAAGCAAGATCTGCAAAGTGTTATGCTTTCACAGGTGGTTCTGTCATAGCTCCAGCTTCAGTTTTCATCTTGGGTTCCCAAGAGGGACCTGCACTGTTTTATCCTCAGAGAGTGGTTCTTACTGCAGCCACCAGTGCTTGACACCAGAGAAGAG